CTCATCATGTCATGGCAATTCCCTTTTGCTTATCTTTGCTCCCAAATCCTGCATATCATTAAACAAAACACCTTCCCCATAACGCAGCACTGATTACAAAATAAAATGTCGCGGCAAACAAAATTTCACTACATGCAACTATATACTCCTAAATGCATCTATATGATCCTATATGAGCTCTTAGACAGTCAATAACTTAAGTGAAAAGGTCCCAAATATGACCTTTTTACAGAGTTATCAGTGAGTAATAGAGTGAGTGTAACATCTTAAACTACGAGTTAGTGATCAAATTGTAAAATTTCAGAATTTGGTGATTAAAGTGGAAAAGTTAAAAAGTTCAATGATTTTTTTGAAATTATTTCCTGAAGGGTTGTTAGTAATTATTGAAAGAGTCAAAAGGCAAATAGGTCATTGAACAAGAAAAATAATTAAATAAAATTTAGTGGGTATTATAATACCTATGTGATGCATGTGTGAAGAGATAAGTTTCCAAACTTATCTTCTTCATCTTCTTCTCTTCTCCAACGTGCCCAAGCTAGAGCAAATATGAGTTTTATATTTTGTTGATTATTTGTTAATTTTAAGAGTGGGTTTTGATCATTAGATGATAACTAAGCTTAAGGAGAGCTTAAGTTATCTTAAAATCAAAAGATGAAGAAGTTACGAAAGATTAAAGAAAATGGGTTTTTAGGTGGAATTTTGAATAAAAAGGTTTAAATGAATTTGGAGGATGAATTTGACTTTTCATCTATGAGAATAAGAAGTTAGAAGTGTTAGAATTAAGTTTGGATAACATGGAAAATTTAGTATGATTTTTAGCCTTAAGAATTTGGATGAAATATGGGAGATTATAAAGTGTTGGAATGATATAAATTAGTTAAAGTTGTTATAGATGAGTTTAGTAGCATGATAAGGATTTTATACATGAAAATTGGGTGAAGTATTGATGAATTTTGGGCTATTTTGGACAAGTGCATCGATACACTATGAGTATGTACCGATGCACTAAGATAATTTTTGAATGTGGATCGATGCATTAAGGGGTGCATCGATGCATGTGAGTTCGAAGCCATTTTGTGTACCGATACACCCATAGTGCATCGATACACCCCTAAATAAAAAATGAAATTTTGGTTCATTAAACTAGCTTGAGTTATTAACATCAAGTTATAAGGTTTAGGCTTTTGATAATCATATCGGAAATTATATTTATGTAGATATCGAGCCTAAACGAGTTACGGATCAATCAAAGAGTTAGGATTGAATCAAAGCAAGAAATGGTGAGTGCAATTTAAATTGTACTTATGTGATTGATCAAACATTGGCTTGCGATAAGCCAATGATGGATTTACTATGGTAAGAAGTAACTTATAAAACGCTATGTGATTAATATGCGTGCATTAGTATATAGAAATGGATGTATGTTATTATATGTTTACACATACATATGGTATGTGACAGAAGAGAAGGAACATATGATTATAAGATCAATGATTACACGTACTTGTGATACGTGACTGAAAAGAAAAGGTATGTGTTTTTAAGAGAAAGGATATGAATAAGTAATGTGAATTGTTATAAATGATAATGCCCATGTTATGTGATATGAAAGCTAGGGGTATAGTTGGCATGCTAAGGGTCGAGGGTTTACCTATGTTCTTCGGGACATATGGACTGTTTACCTATGTTCTTCGGGACATATAGACTGTTTACCTATGTTCTTCGGGACATATAGACTGTTTACCTAGGTTCTTCGGAATCTATGGACTGGTCCTTCGGGACATTTAGACGAGTTGTGGTGACAGCATAATTGTGCACAACCTCAATGTACTCAAATACCTTAAGTTCTCAAAAGTATACATGGGCTAATACATGGTCTTTAAAGAGAGTAAATAAATCAATTGATTTGATACTATGTATGTTTTGTTATGAAATAGTATATGTGTTCCATGGTATGTCTAGAAATGTTCGGTATATACTTATACGATAAAAAAAGTATTAAAAGTGTTTGGATTATCATATGTTATCATGTATACTGATTCATATGCGATACGATTGAATTCATAGATTGCATGTTTATATTTATGAGAAATGCATTATTATTATGTTTATGTCTCACTAAGTCTATACCTTAGCGTGTAAGTGATTTACACGTAGGTACTAAGAAGCAGAAGGATCAAAGCTAAGTTCTAAGTAACAACATATCTCTGCTCAAAGATCAGATCAGAAGTAAATTACACAGTATGTATTATTATGTGATAAACAGGTTGGCATGTAAACAAAGTCGATAAATTAAGTATTTATGCTCTGATCGAGTTTTGTAATGTTTTAAACGTGTTTATGTAAATGTAAATGTATAGTAATGAACGGTTAAATTTTTACGAGATTTATGTACATTTTACGAAAGTCACTGTAGCGGTATTGGAGCACTGTTCATGGCGATGTTCATTACTGTTCACGAAGCTGTTCATTATTGTTCACGGTATTGTTCATACCGTATTTTACTGTTCATAAATACGTTTTTATCTCAAAATTTTATACCAAACACAATTGAACAATATATGATCGTATTTTCTTAATATAAGTTCAAATGTTCTGTTATTTTGCAAGAATAAAGGTTTTGAAATGTCAATGTGACATCTCAGACTCGTATCCGGGTCGGGTATGGGTTGGGGTGTTATAGTGAGCTTTAGAAAAAGCTCAGTAATACAAAACTACCAGATGATACTGAAGATCATGCATATAATAGATAAACATATGTTTCCTTATTAATTCAGACATCTACAGACTTTTATGCTGAGCTGAGGTCCCACTGATATCTCAGATAGTGAAAAATAATAACCTTTCAATTCAGAGAAATTGTTTCGGATGACTGGGTTCAGGAGACCATGATAGATTATCTAGTGTGTTCCCACAAAACTAGTGAAAATATATATATCGTTTTTAAAACTGAAGCAATTTAAAACGTATTTTCCAAAAATAATCATAGTATAACCCTCTAACCGAACGCCAATATGCAATTCCACAGAACTGCATCCATAAGGACTTACCCTAGGCCCAAAAGGGCGTGAGAGCCAATATAAGGGAGCACCTTGGGTTCATAAGGTCTTACCCTAGCCGAAGCGTAGGCGCCCACTTGAGGGGAGTGCCCTCAGCCCATAAGGACTTACCCAATGCACAAAGCAGAGGAGCCGCCCTAAGGGAGTACCTTAGGGTCCATAAGGTCTTACCATAAGGCCCATTAGCCCAGGAGCTCACCCAAGAGTCGCCTTAGGTCCATAAGGAATTATCAGTCGGTGTTGAACCTATACAAGGAATTACAAGCAACGACTGAACCTGACAGAGATATGAATTACTAGTCGGTGCTGAACTTATACAAGGAATTAGTAGCTGCGAGTGAACCTACCAGAGTCTTCATACCAGATCCCATAGTACCCTAAATAAAACATTTTCAGCTAGTAAACAGAGATATAAAAAATCAGAGAAAACATCCAAGTGATCAGGGAACACACTAGAGGTTCCAGATATTATTCAGAGATACTTGGTATTTATCAGATATGGAGCTAAGGAATTTCTGTAAGCATGTCAAATCTTAAGAACGAGATCCTAATAACGAGGGGTCGATAGCTAACGGAACAACCAATCATTCCGAAAGAGATGCATCGGGACCATAAGTTATATAGATATAACTACCAGATATTTAGGAACTGTTGCATCGACTTTTTCAGGATTCGAATATTCCTGAGGTGATTCCAAAACTCTTTTACACACAAGGGTACTTTAGTACCAATTGATCAGTTTTGCATATGTGAGCAGTGATCCCTATTATTTCAAAGTTATAGCATCTTATCCATCTTCTAAGTCTATTTGAACCGGATGAAAATAAATATCTACATAATGTTCATCTTTAATCATGTGGAATGATGATTTGGTTCGTGGAGCCCACACACCGAGGACCAATAACAATATTTTTTTTTGGGAGCTCATTAAGAGAGATTGATGAGTTCTAATTACACTATAATAATTATCTTATATCCTAAATTAATTTTTAAACTATCATTTAGGTTAATTAATTAATCTACCTAAATTATTGAGGCTAATTTTTACCCATCCCAATAAAATAAGAATAATAATAAAAAGAATATTATTACCCCAAATATTAAAAATGAGAAATAGAATCCAATGACTTAACATACGTATGATTTGGTAAAACATATAATGTAAAAAGTAATCCCAAGAAACCTAAAAGCATCAATTATTTGACTCTTTCCAAAATAATTTAACACCACAACTATTCCTTAAAATAAACCCTCAACTATTATAATATCTTATCACTAAACTGTCATGATTAAAATCAGATGTGATCTTAATGCTTACTTTAATGACAATCCAAGGTTTCACTTTGTCAGCATTCGTTAAGAAATTACAACAATCAATAGTTTAATGTGTAAATTATACATTTAATTTTTTAATTATCATTTTTATTATGTTTTGATGATCTAATTATTTAAAAAAAATAATAGCTGAGGTTTTAAACGTGTAGTTTATTTTATAAAATAAAATGTAAAATTTTAAGTGAAGAAACTTATAAATTCATCAAGGAGAATGCATTGACCGATCTATAAATATTTTTGAGGATGCATACATATGTATATTAATAAAATAAATTTTTTATATGGACAAGCATAAATAAATTTTTAAGATGAACACAATCTATAAAATAAATAATTATTTAAAAAATTTAGATTTTAAGATATACACATCAACGTGGTTCCACAGCCAGGGGAAATAAATATATGAGTAGACGGCCCAACAAATTGTATAGAAAAAAGATGCAGAATCAAGAGCAAAGCTGAGTCAGGCTTCACCAGCAGCAGCAAGTTGAAGATAAGCAACAAGGGACCTACCTTACCTCTAAAAACTTCTGGTTGCAAAACCATGACAATTCATTAACCTCCCAACAATTATATATAATTCTTCTATCATTTTCTTATAAATATAAAATATTACTCATAGAAGTTCCAACTTCAAATCTTATTGGATGTTGTATTTTCCAACTTTGCAATACCTTATAACCAATGCTTTGTCATGTTCCATAGTGTTAACAAAAAACACAGTGATGTCTTCTCTTCCTTTGGTTCCCCTCTTTCCATGTAGCATGAGATCAATGTCTGTAAACATTTATGTTCCTTTTCATGTTCCAGTTACAACATCAAATCCGGTTATCAAACAAGCCAACAAGATCGTTATGCTTAAACACGATCAAGTTCCGGGCAAACAAGCACACATTCATCTGATCGGATCATTCTCCAAGAACAATGTTAATCTCATTTTTCATGTTGTCTTTCCATTCGTCGTGGATGTTTGATGTCTAGTTGGTGTTTAAACAGGTTTTCAAGGATCAGTCCCAGGGTGTAATCTGCTATAGAGATGGAAATGGGGAGATAGTTTGCGAAGGGTACGATGAAGGCCCTCATTTTCGTCAAGGGGTTCTGGGAACGACTTATCATCCAAGGTAAGAACCCTGTTTCAAGGTTCCATGATAAGCTATATTCAAATTACTGTGAACTGTGAGTTGAAGCTTTTGGCAAGGTTCTGGATCCAGAGATGCTGAGATCCTTGATCTTCTTCAAAATAGATGGCTTCAAATCGTTAATGTTGGTGGATTAAGCAGTTGCAATTAAGGTTTTAGCATTGTGCAAGATGACTCGTAGTGGATTGAATTTAACAAATCCCCAGATTTCATGAAATAATTGTTTCTACAAGAAAGACACTTCAAGTATTAGAGATTGTATATAGATAGCTACAACTCTTTCTCCTGTAATCACCTTTTGTTTCTGGATTATCATGAACAAAGCCAATGAAAGGTGAATGCTACGAACACTGAATGAACAATGATCACAGAAATAATGAAAGAATTGGGAATTCATCTAATTCATTGTGGTACATGAAAAAAGAAAGTTGGAAAAAATACACTACATGATAAATGCTAAATCAAAGAATATTTTGTACAAAAATGTCCTGCTGAGATGAAGAAATATTGTACCTTTGACAGAAATTCTCATGGCTTCAAAAGAATTGAAAAAATGGAAAAAATGATATGAACAAGGAAAAAGTAGAATGGAAGAGCTAAATCCCAAATTATAATTTTGAACGTTCAATGACACAGACTCACAGAATCACTTGGCTGAGGCACCACGCTGGCCCTTCTCTTGACCTGTATCTGACTCAGATTTACTTGGAACGGTGGGAGGAGACCACTGATCCGGGATCATTAGAAAATAAGTTGACATTGCTTTCCTGAACCTTTTCTTGTATTGTTCGGGCGAAATTACGGTTGGCGATGCATTCTTCGGCCCGCCAAGGATGCCTGAAGCCTTCACCCAAGTTTCAAGATGCTTGTCCCAGGTATACTGCCTCAAGAAATCGATGATTCCGATAACTAACTCATGCTTCTCTTCATCCACTCCAAGCAGTAATGAGTAATCCATGAGGTCGTTCGACTGCAGGTGGAAAAAGATGAAGAAATGAGAATGTTAGTTACATAAAATTCGGAAATTCTTGTCATGTGAACACATCTCCACACATGTTAACTCGAAGCAACAATTTAAAACTTACTGCGAGGAAAGCAGTGTCATTCCAGACTGCTCTTTCCAACACACGCTTCGCTTTATTACCCACGAAAATAGGGTTAGTCGGCATTGATTCGATCAAGTTCTGATCTAGCAGAACCTTGTTGCTTCCACTAGAATCAGGATTATAACGAGATCTAGAGGATCCTTTGAGATCATATAGCCGCGTGACATTTCTTCTAAACAGAAGATTCTCCATAACCAAAACATCCATCCTTGATTCTTTACCACCTTTAGGTTGCTTTCTCGTAACCTTCCAAGATCAACAATAAGAAATGATTACGTCAAACACAAGCAACTTGTCATCTATGTAAATAAATGAACACTCTTAGTACTGTCTAAAATCCCTCCATTTTCATTCAAAAGTACAAGCAGTTAGCGTCAAACACCCAGAACAATTTTATAAACAAGCAAGCTTCATTATGGAGGATAATAGTTTTATTTTGTTAATGCAAATCAACCTTGTTTCTAAGCATTTAGTTAAGGAAAACGCAGCTCAGTTTTCAATTTTAGTTATATGGGCATTGAAATGATGGCCAAAACCAGCCATTTGTCTTGTTTATCCAAAAGATTAGTGATTATGATATATGGCATTATAGAATCTGAAGCTCTACGAATACGCACCTGATAAACACCGAGAATCTTTGCCAGGCATGTTGGACTTCTAGATCTAATTGCTTCAGACAAGTAATTGAAATATTTAGGTGCAAGTTTTATAAATGATTCCAACTCTGTCTTTGTGACTTGTTTAATGATAAACCGGTCATCCAAGGTCTTTGCAAAGAAAACGTTGCTTTTACCACCCTGAGCTCCCCACTTCTTACAGCGACTCAGAGACCTTATGAAATCTAGCTCTGATGGGCAACATACTTTCCTTAATGTCTCAAACCACTTTGCATAGTAACAAGTAACCGTATATTTCACTTTATCTGATCCGTCTTCTCCGAATGAAACCCGGACATGCAAAGACTTCATACTCGAGGGTGGATCCATAATCAGGGAGCTTCGGCTTCCAGCAAGGTCATCTGCTGAACCGAAACTTCTCTGAGGATAAAAGGGTATATTGTCAACAGAATGGGCCAACTGAAAATTCACTGAATCAGAGAAGGATGATGATGCCATTGAATCCCCCCAGTCTTTAGGCCTATCCCGTTCATCACTTATCTGGAAATGGTATTCAGGTGATACTAGAGCATACGATATGGTGCTTGTGAGCTCATCATCATAAACTGGAATAACAGTGTCATTAACACCCACCGGAAGAAGCAGCCTATCCCCACCTTGCAGTTCCAACTCTCTAAACGATGAAATATTGAACCGATCATACACTTTTAATGTATCAAGCTTTGAAGAACTTCCTAAAAAGTTTTTGTTCGAAGATGAACGATAGAAACTCAAGAAAGGCATTTTTAACCAGCTAACAAATTCTTCCATATTTTCAGAACCTATATTGAACAATGTAGGGGAAGGAGAACAAATAACCTTTGGCACAATATTTTCTTCAGAACGGTCTTCCAAATCTACAGCAGCAATATCAGGAAGTGAAAACGAATTTTTCTTGGATAATACAGGTCCTCGCTGAATTTCTCCAGTCCAAGCAGCATCAAGGGTATCTGATAAATTTTCTATGACAGGAAACTGACCTTCAGACATGGCTCTGCGAACATTTGCCTTTGGTTTCTCATTGTCATATTGGTCAAACATGCTTTGGCTAGCAGAAATATTGCCATAGTCTTTATTTCCACAATTTGAACTTTTGTTCATGTCTGGTTCTTGATGGACTGCATCTGACTGATTAGCATTGAGCTTTGCATCCACCACAGTAGAGTCACCAGATTCAGATCCTTTTCCATGTTCCAATGTATCCATGTCCTTGACCTTTTCAATATCAATAACCGGTTTCTCTTCATGTCCTGTAATCAAATTGCTGAAACAGTTCCGGGGGATGTAATTTTCTAGTTTAGCTGCAAAAACCAGGCGTTGATCCCACATATAAGATTGGAAAAGTAACTGCCGACGCAACCGGTTTATTTCAAGGATGTCCACAACATGTTGTCCTTTTCTCACTTCCCTTTCCGAAGCTTTTTGCATTGACTCCTGAACCAAAGGGAAACAGACAAACTCCAACCATTTAGGCTTAGACATAAGATCCATCTCAACTATGTGAAAAAGTACAGCACATACAGTCTTACATCAAACTCCAGCTTCTCGTTATGTAGTATTCCTTCTAGTTCAGTAATTTGATCTCTCAAATCAGAAGTTTTCGTGTCACTACCAGGTGGCCCTGAGCTGGTTTGTTTTTCAGCAATTTGATTCAGGAACTTTAGTACTTTAGAAAACAGAAGCTCTGCCTGGTTAGTCACCTGTTTATTACAAAAAGATAATAATAGATTACACAAACTGGATCCTTCATAAAACCAAAACGATTATTGTTGCACCTTATCTGTTTCTTGCTGTATCCATTTCTGACTCTCATGGTAAAACTCAAGTTTTGGAGGCGGGAGGCAGACGGAATGAACATCAATTGTTGCATACCGAAAGCAAGCCACCATTCTCCCAAATCTACATTGAGAGAGAGAGAGAAGAGTGCAGATGTGATGCCTGAAGATCTTTTCAGCTAACAATTCTTGGTATTTTACCAGCCAGATCATGGTACACATCATATGTCAAATAGGAATCAATTAACTAGAACATTCGAAAAGTCTCTAAGATCACAGAAAAATATACTATGATTAATATCAACCGACTGAGGAGTCTATTGACACATTGTGGCGAACTATAGTTATAAGGGTCAATAGCCTTCAAAAAACCACATAATGGCACGTTCTGAAAGAAGCTATTTATACTCGCACATGATAAAGAAAATTACCCATAGAAACGAAGACAATCTCTATGTAATGAATGGCCACAGCTTGCAACCCTGCTCGCAGCTGCATGGTTTGAAAAGCTAAGCTCCAAAAACTTCCCAAATGATAAACCCCATGCAGCATCAGACATCACTCTTCTGAAAGTTGCCGGAGGAAAACCATTGGTCCTAGGACATTGCAAGCATCTATGCCACATCCAGATCTTGCCCTCTTTTTCACCAGGCAAGAAAATTTCAGTGAGTTTCTTAACAGACATGGTTAGTGTTCCTTGTCGATGAGTATAACAGTGAACATGTGCTTCTGAAGGCAAGTCACAAGAAGGGCATCTGTAACTCTGAAAAATCAGCAGTTTCCTTAGTTTCAAGGTGATTGCTACATCCGAACAGGGAAATATACAAATGTGAAGAACATAGAGTTTACCTGATCGAATAAATGATCCCTCAAAAACCGACCCAAAGGTTTATCAAAACTGCCATAGTACTTGATACGAAAGAGATGGGATCTTTCGCAGACAGTCCCTTTCCTCACACTTCGAGATGATAATGACACCAAAATGCTCTGATTATCAGAAGGCGCAGAAGGAAACACTTCTTTTAATGGTTTTGACACAGACTGGTTATTATGGTTTTTACCATCTTGTTGCACAGATGTTGCCTCTGAATTCATGTGTGCCGAAGATTCTGTTCGACGAACACCACTATTCATGAAAGATGACTTATTTTTGTCCACAGAAATTTCCCTCATTGAGGAATCTTTGGTACCCATTTCACTTTTCTTGGAAAACACATCTGGAGTTTTCTCAGAAGTAGATGATACAAGGGCACTAGACTCTTTCAAAGTGGGTTGTACAGACCACAGGCTTATATCTTTACTTGAAAAAGATGCTGGAGCCTCTTCTATCTTCTGAATATTACGACCGACGATTGCTGATAGAACACTATTAGCCCTTTGTGGTCCACTAAAATGCTGAGGTCCCTGGGACTTTATATTGGCAGTAGCAAAGTCAGGAACTGTTGATATGGATCTTGCAATGGTTGATGGTTTATCCGGAAGTGCCACGGCCATTGGAGAGTTTGGGAATTCTGGCAGAGAGGCTCCTTCATCGGCAAGAAATGATGTCTCCAAAGCTAAATGATAAGATGCAAAGATTCCATATTGAACTACATGCTTGATTTTCTTCAATTCGTCTCCATTTGCACCCCTAAGTATTATCTGAAGCAAACATATACATACATACATATATATATATATATATATATATATTCAGTTAGACTAATAAAACGACCCGTAATAGCAATAAATTTGATATAGAGCAACACTGTGAGAACATGAATATTGTGTCTACAAAATTTAATTTTATATACTATTATTTTCCAGGTTTCTTTTGTTTTTGGTTATTTTAAATAACTTACAGTGCAACCCAATGGCTTAGGGCAGCCTTCAAAATACATTAGCGTCTTGGCCAATTTCTTCCCTCCTTGTCCAGGAGAGCCAAAATCTTCCCTGAACCTCTCAACATGGAACTTTTCACAGTATCCCAGCTTCTGAGAAAACAGATGATCAATTGAAGGGATTATTTGAGCACCTGTGCAGCGTGCAATGCGTTCTAATAATGACCTCTTGATGTTGAGAACAAGTGATATGTCTTTCTCAAGAAGATATTCCTGGGCAAATCGAGAAACCGATTTCTCCACTAGAAGGATATGAGGTTTATGTGCATGTATCTTTGCAACAGCCATCTTCAAATGATCCATTTCCTGGTTAAAGATGTCAAAACAATAAGATAAACACAAAATTTAGAATTTAGAAATAAAAAGTTCCCTCCCCATTGAAATGGAAATTGAAAGAAACGTATAAAACATGAAACACCTGCAGCAACAAAGTATCAAAACTTGACAATAAGTTAGAGACCCGCTGGTATTCAAGAGCTCCACCAAGGATCATCAATCGAGGTTTCTCTAGTTTTGAAGTCATTCGACGATGAGCAACATTTTTCTTGCAAACAACTCCTTTGACAACCATACTATATGAAACCACAGAAAATCAGAAATAGCAATAAAATTTAGAAGGTTGACAACCAGGCAGTGCTGTAGTTAAATTGGAATGTATCAATGCAGAAAATGGAAGTCTAATTTCAAAAACTAACTATTATGAAAACCTTCGTTTTACTCATAGAATGAGATAATGAAAGAACTGAAGGGAGGTAGCTGATCTTGCTATGTTTAGGCTGTGGAAAACAGCGAGTTCTTGAACTTTAAAAGAGAGGTACCTCCATCTACTTGGAAAAACCATTCCTTACATGATAATCTAATTCATTTGTTATTCTAATTTTTTTTATTAGAAATTGACGACTTTCTCAAGTTGTAGAACAATTGGTGAATGTGGAAAAATGGAGAAGGACCATTCAGGTTAACAATTTGTTTTTTACATTTTGCTCCTGCTTTAACAGTATCTATGGCTATGGACTCCAATAAGATTGTTGATCGATTCATCTCTTCTTTATGAAACATCAGAAAAAAACGGAGAGTTTAATTTACGCTGTTAAGTAGCATCTGAAGAAAATCCTAGCATGAACATTTTAGATTTACATGAGTTAACAAATTAGGAAGCTGCTATTCAGCAACCAAACTAAGGCAGTATGTACTACATTCATATGCTGGAACATTAAAGATAAGGTAAAGTGTTAATGCAGACAACGTACATGGTTATCTGTTTGATCTAATTCAGATATCGAAATTCATTAGAACAAATGATAAAGGGTACCACATAAACATTTACTATCTTGTGTAACACTTACCTCTCATTGCGATATCCAGAAGCTATGCATTTCACTTTAACATATCCACCAGGGTCCATCTCTCCCCCTTTGGTGGTGTATGGCTTCAAAAGCGAAGCGGCCTCCCAAGAAAGAGCGGTGATGATCTCCAACCAGCTATCTTTACTATTTTCATCACCCACAGGAAGGTTCTCTACCTGTAAAAGCTGAGCAATCAAGGCCCTAAAATGTCCATCAACAATATTCTTTGTTACTTTTTTCTGCTCCTCAGTCGATTTATCCCTAGAGCGAGATTCCCCACTTCCGAAGCTGCTTGTCTTGTGCCAATACCCCCAGTCTCCTGCACCATCTGTATCATCCTCGTCATCAAACAGAGCAGCTTCCTTCTCATCATCTTCATCTTCTGGTTCGGGAGGGAGCCAAAGAGGTCCATCATTTTCAAAATCTACAGGCTCAGCAGGATATAGTGAAGGTAATGCTTCACATTCATCACCATCATGTTCATCTTTCTTCACAGACTGTGATATTCCTTCCGAACTCGGTGAAGGAACCTGGTTCACTGGAGAACTGCTTAAACTTTTTGAGTCGATATTTTCTCCATCAGGATGAACTTTTTGTGGCTCGTCATCATCATTGCTAATTTCATCGAAGTCAGTAGGAGTATAGTAGCCATCATCATCAGAGTAATGCAATGTCTCAGAATCAGACAAATATAAGCGGTACTCATTGTCCTCATCATCAATCCAAACCTTTTCAGTCAATAATCGTTCGGAACTTTTTGAGTCAACATTTTCTTCATCAGAATGAAATTTGTGTGATCCATCATTTTTGCTCATCTCATCAAAACTAAGAGGCGTATAGTACCCATTATCTTCAGAGAAATCAGACAAATACGAGTTGTACTCATCGTCCTCACCATCGAGCCCAATGCTGAAAGAAAAGCAATCAACATGTAAGTAATTGGAATAGCAAGTTGTACCCATTTTAAGAAGGGTGCAACATCATCTGACCTGTTCCATGAAAACTCATATTGGCTTGAAGACGGATCTTCTGCATCCATAATAAGATCTTTGCTAAACCTTGGTGTTTTCAGGATAGGCCGACGCATGCCTTTCTTCATTGCCGAACGAGGGCTGAGAATAGACCTATGATGCAAATGTTGATATTGCCCACCTTGATATGGCACAGAGCTGAGGCCACCAGATTTAGTTCTGGTAAAACTACGGGCCAACATTGAGGAATTAAAATCCTGGTTGGGCACCCAGACTCGACCATCATTAGTAATCAAGCCGTACCTCCACTGGTTGAAACAATAATCACATACCCTAACTGTCTCCTGCTCTTCTAAGGGGATCATTGGATCATAAGACGGAGCTGGAACTGAGTTTGCAGTACACTTGGCACAGAAAACTCGGCCACAAAGTCGACAATGGTGTCTACGATTAAACAACGTGAACTGGGCATCACAATCATAGCATACCCTGCAGCTATGATCGGGCATCCAAAAATCGACTGATACATTAGCAGGCTCTGATCGCCAAGGGATCCATGACTTTAGTAAACTAACTACCTGAGAAAATGTGTTGTTAGAAGCCTCCATCATCCACCTGCCGATATTTCTACTGTCTTCATTCATTGTGCTATATTCATTTGACACCCGCAATGAACCGTAAACTAGACGGCTGGAAGACAATCCCACCAACAATGTTCTGAGTCCATCAATCTAGCTATGGAAGTAATTCTTCTTCATAACATCCAATGACTCTATCGTACATTAAAGACAATAAACCGCTTTCAACTCATTAAAACTAGATCCAAATCAATTTCTGGAAACCCAATCTGCACCATGATTCTAATCAAATGAATTCAAAATTTTGTGAAAGTTCTTCCATCAAGAATGAAGCAAATTGCAAGAAACCATTGAAAAATTAACACCTTGATTCTTCTGTCGTTACGACAGCTAATGATAAATTGATCAATCAATTTTCCCTCTTCCCGCAGATAAATACATGAGAATTTTTCGCAGTTTTACCTCGAATCCCCAATCAACATCGTTATCATCAAACAAGTGATGATCAACCTTATCAAGAATGAAGCAACAAGCCAATAGATTCTTGCGACGCACGCAAACGGGCCGCTATCAAGGAAACGAAAATCAGGCAAAAGCCAATTGAGAGAGAAAGTCCCAGCAGTCAAGAAACAATAAAAATGGTGAAATTCTTGACCATGATAATGAGCATCTCCTTCTCAATGTCAAAGAAAGAACCCCATTTTTCCATTTAGAAAGTTTGGATCAAAACAACACCTGAAAAAGCCCATGCATTGTTTCCATGCACAAAAATAATCTGGGCATCCTAAATATATCTAATCTCACAATCCAATCAAAATTTTATATATATTTTTTCAATTTATTGACAGTGGTGATTCACCATACAACCTGTGGCAGAGAAAGCTCTCTCCTTTAACATGGGTACATGATATGAATTGTACACTATGCTGTATGTTTAAAAGAAAAGGAATTTTGAGCAATGTTTTCTTTTTTTGGGGTTATGGAAGGACAAAAAATGACATTGAAAGAGAGGGAGGTTTTGTACTTTTGAGGTTTGACTATATTTAAAGACAACAGAAATGGGGGAGGCTTTAAAGGGTCATCCATTTGCTGCCTCTCACCCTCAAAGACGGAAAATGATAAACCACAATGCCTCCACCTTCAACCCAAGTCCATGCTTGTTTTGGTTTTGTATGTAGCAAAACCTATTTATTTTCGTTTAACTAACGATATCTATATCTGATCTATTGATCGATTATTTCAGATCTAATTTTACATAGGCTTATTATGTGCATCCTCTCAACCCAATTTACTCCATCTGCAAACGTTAGCATTCGACCTCTTGACCTTCCTTAAAAAAATATAGTGTCTCGTCCTACTAGACAAACTGATTGTTGGCTCGAATGGATTTTTAGATAAATTACTGTGTTGTTTATCTAACTTTTATAGTATTTTCATTTAGTTATCAAAAAAGGATCTTTACAATTTCATCATTTTAATCAATCGATCATCAAATATCTTTTTGGGTTTGTTAAACCTCTAACAAAAAATAAAACTCATTTTAATTGGTTATCTTGAATTTCTCTTTATATTAAATTATCCTCACTCGATATATAATTCATATTTTATTCTTCTAAAATATAGTTTTAACTTAGTTATTTCAAATTACGTTATCATATTTGGTTTGTAAAGATTTTCTCTCAACAATATAGTTTTATTCATATTTTTATTCTTCTAAGGATAATTTATCATTATCAACATCTCTCAAATGCTGAGAGGATCATTCCTATCTATTTATTTGATAATTAACTCGAGTTGGAAATGTCACAATACAATCTTAAAATATTATCTATATTTTCATACAAAGAAAACTATTTACTTTACCTGATCATGTCAATCTTTATTTTTGTTAAACCAACAATGCAAATCAACTTTTAGTAAACATAGATTATTAGAAAACAATATAATGCAAATATTAGGTTAGAGATTTATAATAAAACATAATAAAAACCAAGCTTGTTTATGATATTTTAGTGGCATGATCAAACATAAAAATTAGGCCCCTAATAACAAGTATCAAACAAAAAAATTAAATTATATGAACAAGCAAAACTAAATAAATTTACATGTAAATTGGTTTTTATTACATTTAATAAACTATTTAATAAAACCATCAAGAATTTTTATTAATTACCAAACTACTCACACAAAACAAGAATGATCATCTTTTAAGAGGGTACTTTCTAGATTTTAACCTTCTCCGTTTTGTCAAAAAATAATAAAATGGAAAGTAAAAAAATAATTTAAAAATGCCACATCAGCATCATCATTAATTTTTTAATAGTGGGTAATAAAAAAATGTAACATTAAATATGATTTTAAAAATAATAATAATTTAATGACCAAAACAGAAATAAAATAGTAGGTGGGTGACTAAATCAATAATTTGTCCTTTTTAATTTTATGTGAATTTATAATTTTGGTCTTGGATAAGTGCCCCTCTTGCCAAGGTGCAAATTAAATATTTAATTATATAATTTTTTTTATATTTTAAGAGGTTTTTTGGACATAAAAAAATTATTTTTGCAAAAAATAAAATATTTTTAACTATATATAGTGTTTTGATATTTTTAAGAATTTTTTAAACTTTAACGCCTTGTTGTAGTTTTCGTCTCTCTTGCCAAGGTGCAAATTAAATATTTAATTATATAATTTTTTTTATATTTTAAGAGGTTTTTTGGACATAAAAAAATTATTTTTGCAAAAAATAAAATATTTTTAACTATATATAGTGTTTTGATATTTTTAAGAATTTTTTAAACTTTAACGCCTTGTTGTAGTTTTCGTCTCAAAAATCCTTATTTCAACCTCTAATTCTGAATTTCCTGATATTTATTAATAATAGCGTCAAAAACTATTTTTTGGTAACAAGTTAAATATTTAATTATGTAGTGTGTTTTGATAATTTTTAAGAATTTTTTGGACGTAAAAAAATTAATTTTGTATCAAATTAAATATTTAATTATATAGAGTATTTAGATTATTTTTAAGAATTTTATTTATTTATATAATGTGCTTTGATATTGTTTAAGAATTTTTTTGACGTAAAACTCTTTCTTGCAGCAAATTAAATATTTAATTATGTAGAGTTTTTTTATATTTTTAAGAGTTTTTTCGGACATAATTTTTTTATTTTCGTATTAAATTAAATATTTAATCATATAGAGTTGTTAGATATTTTCTTTTGAATTTTTTGGACCGTAGCGCCATGCCGATGTTTTCGTCCCAAAATGTCGTGTTTTAACCTCTAATTCCAAATTTTTCTGTATTTATTATTAATAACATAAAAAACTCTTTTTTTGTATCAAATCAAATATTTAATGATATAGAGTGTCTTGGTAGTTTTTTTAAAAAAAATTGATGTAAAAAAATTATTTTATCAGCAAATTAAATATTTAATTATATAGAGTTTTTGTATATTTTTAAGAAGTTTTTTGGAATAAAAAAATTATTTTTGCAGGAAATAAAATATTTTTAACTATATGTAGTTTTCTGATATTTTTTAAAGAATTTTTTGGACTTTACAACTTGTCGTGGTATTCGTATATCTTGAGAAATATAGGGATCAGTGTGTGATTGCTTAATAATTGATGTGTTTTGTTGAAAATGAAAGTAGGAATGTTGAATCTAATATTAGAATGTGAAACCGGGCAATTTTGAAAAGTTGACAAATTTAAGGACCAAATCATAAACATAGAAAAGATAGGGATGTAAGTAAAAAATTTGCAATTGTTGGTTTAATATGTTTTAATTAAACATTGAAAATTTTGGTTATGTTAATCGAAGCTTAAGTTGAAGTTAATTTGTTAAGATTAAGGACTAAATTGTACATTTGTATAAGTTGTGGTCTAAAATGAAATTTTAGTATAAAGTTGATGAGTAGAATTTGAGTATGTTGTCGGAATGTTCGAATCTGTTTTGTGATTATTGAATTTGGGAATAAATGGAAAAAAAGGACTATATTGAATAAAATGAAAGTTAAGATGAAAATTTAAAAGAATTTAATCTATGGTTAAAATTATGGTAGTATGGATTTTGAATCGAATTTGGAAGAATGTATAAACTAAAGAAATAAGTTGTAAATATGAAGAAATTAGGGATTAAAGTAGAAATTGAGTATTGGATGATGTGTAAAGCGTCAATAATTATTAGAGGGACTTGAATAGTTAAAGTGAAATTTGGCTCAACGTGTAAAGTTGTATAAGATAGAGATACAATTCGCAAGTTTTAGGAAGTTGGTGGTGAAATGGCAATCATGTAAAGTTAATGCATTAGATTTGATATGATGTAAAAATAATTGATATGGATTTAAATCTAATATTAATGAACTAACTTGTATATATTCAAAATATTGAGTTTATAATTGAAAGGAAAGTATTAGTGGTTAAATGTGAAATGTTGAAAAGTTAAGTTTATTATGGTATTATTGATTTACCAAATCGAAACTAACTATAATTCTGGATTTTTCAGCTTTTCACATTTAACCACTAATAAACTTTCATTTTAATTGATATGGATTTAAATCTAATATTAATGAACTAACTTGTATATATTCAAAATATTGAGTTTATAATTGAAAGGAAAGTATTAGTGGTTAAATGTGAAATGTTGAAAAGTTAAGTTTATTATGGTATTATTGATTTACCAAATACAAGTTAGTTCATTAATATTAGGTTTGAGTTTCACGGGCAATAATTTCCACCTATCAATAGACGGAACTCGAGGAAAATAGACCCCATCAATAGCAATGCTCACATTGGGTCCATAAAATCAAACACTAGAATTCCAAGACTCGCCTCACACTTTAGCCATGTAAAGCAGTTTTTGCTTGTGAGTTGCTATTTACTATTCTTTGATTGTCTTAGGCGAAGCTAAACAAGTTTTGGGCAAAGAAGATGTAGGGAACAGAGAGTATATAATAAATGCCGAATATCCATCCTGCCAAAGGGCCAGTGGTCAACATTTCTGCAATTCAAAATCTCAGTTAATTAGTCAACAAACACTAGCACAGAATCTTGCGCTTGGAAAGAAATTTCAATTTCAATACTTGAATCTTCCTCCTTAAAACTCAAAACATCCTAACTCGCATTTTCATGAGACCTAAAATAAAAAAGTATAGGACCATTTTACAGGTTCCTGGCTAGAATTTGACCATTGACATTTATTATTCAATTGATTTTAGCAAATACCTTGTATACACCTTGTACGCCAGTTAATTTGGCCTGTGGCATGCCTGCATTGCTTTCCCATCCTCCGTGGGAAGCAAAACTTCCTCATAGCTTTTGTTGTTGCTCATGCAGCTGCAGATTCACAATTTCCTTATGTGCCACTTTCAGTGTTAGCATTGAGTTCTTGGAAGAAAGTTTTTACTGCGCCATATGTAGACCAACATATTGCAGCAGCAGGAGCATGGAAAAGCATTCGAGGAATCCATCCCCTCATAAGGCCCATGTAGTTGTCCTTCCGCTCAATTTTTTCAACCACATCCCCAATAGAACTACTCTTAAATCTATCACATCCGCATACATCCTGTGATATAATTTTTAATAACAATACTACAACAGTCAGCAAAGTAAGATTCATTATTAATCAAATTAAAAAGTTAGGTCATTAAGCATGAATATAAATCTTAATGGATACAGACACAAACGATAAATCATTTTTTGTCAATAACCTTTAAAGTCAAAGTGAAAGAGAAAGCAAAGTAGGATGGACAATAAATAAAGACCTTATGAGCAAACACTTTACATGTATCAAATAGAAGGAAAGCCTGCACATGATATTAAAAAATAACTCAGAAGAATGCTACAAACATTCAGTTTGAGAAAAATGTCTCAATCATCCGTGGTTGTGTTAAAGGAGTTACTGACTGCAGTAATTAAGACTAGATGCTGCATCTTGTCACTTCTAGCATCGTATTCAAGATGTTGGTTCAGTTAACCGGATAAAAGAGATACTGGATATATCACGATATAGAAAAACAAACATGAAAGGTAGGGGACAATTGTCAATTAAAACAATCCTAATCAATTAGGCATTCTATCTATTCGTTAGAGGATTTCAACAACCACTCAATAATGAATGAACCTAAAAGCAAATAACACATTATACCATCTGTCTGGTAACACAGACAGTCAGCATTTCCAATCTTTCAATCACGACAACAAAGGATTAATCATGTTCACATTGAAAACACCAGAATATTCGCTTGAAAATTCAGAATATTCACATTGAAAGCAGCCATGTAACATCAAAAATCAGCTTGAAAAGTGTCCAAAAATAAAAATGCAAAAAGCACAGAGCACAAAAGATTTAAAGAGAATGGAGCCGATACATTACCATACTCAAAAGCACATAAAGCAAGAAGACATGGAAGTCAAGCTGAGGAAACAGCTCCACATCATGACAAGCAACGAAGCTGGGCCCAATTGGATGCATGACTAAAACCCTCTCACCAAACAATCTTTCCAATAAACCAAAACTAACCTCGAAAACTTGCAGAAACCAACACATCCACTGCAAACCATAGGCCAATGCCTCTCCATTAACAACCCGATTTTATCCCTACACCAAGAAACAGCTGTTTTCGCCTTGGAGTAAACATGTTTCTGATATTCCAACCATTTCCAGCCCTCCTTGAAAAGCCCTATATCCTCCATCGCCCATATTTTTAGATCCACCCTCGAAAAAGATCAAATTTTTAATAGGAAAATGGAGAGAGGAAAAATACCCATTTCGGGGATTACAGTTTTGGAGGAAACAAAAGCATTGTAAAAGGAAAGGGAAAGAAATCCAAAGAATCCAAGGCTGGGAAAGCTAAAAAGAATAAGTCTCCCTGGCAGAAGCAAAAGATCTCACATGGGGGGGGGGGGGGAAATCAGTATGTGAATGGTATTTAAAATAGAAGCCACTAACGTAGGAGCGGGCTGGAAGGCTTATGCTGGGTGTTGGTGTTGGGTCTTGTGTTCCGGGTTCACCTTTTGGTTTGGGTTAAAGGGTTCTGGGCGTGAGGCAGGCCCTGGGGTGGTGGACGGGATTTTAGGGTTTAGGGTTTCCCATGCTTATTATCAAGGGAGTAATATAGTTTGTTAAAATGGAGAGGGTATTAGAGATAGTGTTGCGGATTTTGATAACTAGATCTTCACTCCCCACTAACCCTGACTCATCGCCTACTGAATTAGAGAGACGATCTGGTAGCTGATTCATCAATTCCCTGCCTTGGACAAGTTGTTCGATTGCTTTCTTTGTGGTCCTAGACATGTTTTCCGACCAAGCTCCGTATGTAAAATGGAGAATAATTGGCTTAATAGATTGTAAAAGGGAACAGCAAACTCATGGAAGAGACAAGGAACCCAAGGTAGAAAATTCCAGGATGGGGGCACCTCTCTTTACGTTCAATCCCCACTCGCCCTATCTATTGGATGCAAATTTGTCCCCTTGTACAGTTGTACTTTTACACTCCATGCATATTTGTAATCATCCAACTCATTGTTTATTTTTTTGGATTTTCATTTTCTTTTGGTTAATAGGTTGAGTTATTATTTTAATAATCAAATTATATATAATGCTCTTTTGGTTCTTTAATTTTGTAAATTTGATTATTATAAACTATAATATTTTATTTTAACTTTTTTATCTTGATTTTTAACTTTCCTTATCAATTTAAATATAAATCATAATATTATTTTGTTTTCAAATGTTAAATATTTTGTTCTTATCTATCACTCACGGATGAAGGCGAGGAATAATGTAACTAACATTAAGTTTGTTAATTTTTTATGGAAAATATATATATTTAAATCCATGTAAATTTCATTGTTTAAACCTGAATTATTAAAGGAGAATAAAATTCTCTTAATCATTAACATCATTATAATAATTCTTGTTAACCTTTTTTATGTACAAGTATATTATCATTAATCGATATAATTTTTATATTTTATATGTTAATGAATCAAATCATTAAGATTAATCAAATTTAATTAATCAAACTATTAAAAATAATGACTAACAACTATAATAACAAGTTTTTGACAAATGATTAACCTTTATTAAATTAGAAATATATATTTTAAGAGAAAATATAAATATAATGGGTTGTTTTAATTTAATAAATAATAATGAATAACGATGAGATATCTATTTTAGAATATAATTTTAAATTTAATATTTATTTTATAATTTTTAATAATTTAATATAAAAAAATTAATTACTTTTCAGTTTTGAACTTGGATAGATGCAAAGGATTGTAGCATAGGTTGAAGAACGTGGGGACAGAAGTTAAGATATAGAGATAGGGTTCATACTATGGTTGAGTGATGTAATGAAGATTATGTCATTATGAAATCGTCACCATTTTAAGAGTACAACTTGGATACTTTTTTATTCATAATAACTTGTGTTTTACATCAACGGTCAGAATTTTATAATGAGAAAATGTGCCCATGTAACACTTACGACAATAATAAAACTCTATTCTCATATGCAATAGGGTAAGGGGAGGTAAAGTAGTAGGCTGTCCCTAACACCAGGTTGAAAGCAGCTTCGGTGGAAGACCTTCGGCAGTCAGAAAATTAAAAATAAAATAAAATGCAATGCAATGCATGTATAAATAAATAAATAAATAAATACATAGTTGAACAGTCTTCATATGCGCGTCTGTAATGGAAAGTAATCTCTGCAAGTAAATCCCTGCGTAAAAATCTCTGTATATAGACAGAAACGTAAGACCCGACTAAATTTAAAAAGAGGAAACATGAAGAAAATGATACACAGAAGTCAACGATAGCAAGCTACGATAATGAATAAAGTCAAATGGGTTATAACCTAAACTAAGGCAACACTACTTCGCTACCTTAGTTTTAAGCCTACATAAATTCTAATGACAGAAACGTATAAAAAGTAGAAGTCATGGAAATTACTATAAAGACATTAAAAGAAGACAGAGATGATACACCCTATGGATGTGACCCGCACTACTCGGCTACCCTGGTCTTTAGTCTCCATACTTTCATATCAGAGGTCATGTCCTCGGTAAGGGCTAAATCCTTCAAATCAGATCTCAAGCAGTCTTCTCACTTCCGCCTTGGACGTCCTCTCCTTTTGGCACCGTCAACTGTAATCGACTCTACCCTCCTGACCGCATCTGACGGTTGTCGCCTAAGGACATGCCTAAACCACCGTAGTCTTCCCTCCTTTAATTTTTCGGATACAGACACCACCCCTAAGAACATCCTAATAGTTGAGTTTGGTGTCATGTCCCACAGAATCCTACCATATGTCCATCGAAGCATTCTCATTTCTACGACCTCCATCCTCCTTACGTGATCCTTCTTGATTGCCCAACATTCTGATCCATACAGCAGCGCTGGTCTTATTGCCATTATATAAAATTTTCCCTTAAGTTTTAGAGGCACCTTCTTGTCACACAAAACTCTAGTAGCAACCCTCCACTTTAGCCATCCCGTCTTTATATGGTGTATAACGTCATCATCTACGTCACAATCTTTATGTATCATAGACCCTAGGTACTTGAAACAATCCTTTGAGGGGATAACGTGTCCTTCTATGCAAACTTCTACATCTTCATCGTTTTGGTTCCCACTGAAGTTTGAACATAAATACTCTGTCTTTTCAATATTGATTTTTAGACATTTTTCTTCCAAAACAGTCTTCTAGGTAGCCAGTATACTATTCAACTAAGTTTTTGATTCAATAACTAGGACAATGTCGTCTGCGAAAAGCATACACCATGGAACACCATCTGGTGTCATACAATAGATGTCGTCCATAATCAAGGCGAAGATGTAAGGGCTAAGAGCCGACCCCTGGTGGAGTCCGATTTCCACCGGGAATGCCTCGGTGTCTCCAACTGTAGTCCTGATGTATGTAGTAGATCTACAGTACATATCACGGATCGCCCGGATATAAGCAGATGTGATCCGTCTCGTTTCCAAGGTCTTCCAGATCGTATCGCTTGGAACGTTGTCATACGCATTCTCCAGGTCAATGAATGCTATGTGAAGATCTCTATTTTTTCCCTATATTTCTCCATAAGTCGTCGAAGTAGATGAATCGCCTCCGTAGTAGACCTGCTAGGCATAAAGCCAAATTGGTTTTCCGAAACCCTAGTAACCTGTCTCAACCTAGCCTTTATCACCCTTTCCCATAGCTTCATGGTATGACTGAGTAGTTTAATACCTCTGTAGTTTCCACAACATTGGGGATCTCCTTTATTCTTATAAATTGGTATCACCGTAGACTCTTTCCACTCCTCTGGCATCTTGGCAGTCTCTAAAATAATATTAAAGATATGGACCGACAACCCTCCCCATCTTTCTAATAACCATTTTGACTTCCTCAAACCCAATCCTACTTGTAGTGCAGTCATTGGTTGTAGTATGATGGTCGGCTGATCCATCAATGGTAATATCTCTACAGGGAGAGGCACTGTCATTAAATAAGCCAAAGAAATAACTACTCCAAACCCTCTTAATATCATGATCTTTCACTAAAAGAACACCATTGTTATCCTTAATAAACCTAATGCAACATAGATCATTTTTCCTATTATCCCTGGATTTTGCAAGCCTGAAGATGCCGTTTTGTCATTCCTTGGTGTCTAATCTCTTGTACATTTCCTCGTAGGCCTTATCATTTGCTTTAGCCACTGTTTTCTTTGCCTCCTTGTATCTTTGTTTAGCTCTCGATCTTTCTTCGTTGTCATTGCATTGTAGAAACTCCTTGAAGCAAGTTTGCTTTGTCTTCACCTTATTTTGGACCTCGTCGTTCCACCACCACGATTCTTTATGTTCCTTGACCTTCCCTGTCGACAACCCAATGGTGTTTTTTCCCACCTCTCAGATGAAATTTGTCATATTTTTCCGTAACATATCTGCATTATTTGAGTTTGTAGTTCTAAAACCTGTATTAGACAAAACCTTACTCCTAAAGTCATCAGCTGTCGCTCCATGTAAGTTCTTCCAAAGGATTCTAGGTTTACCAAGTTTAGCCCTCTATTTAGTGTTCCGCCCATGGCGAACGCAAAACACCAAAACCAACAATCTATGTTGTGATGCACATGCCTCTTCAGAAAGAAAGAATTTGGAGAAACTTGTTCTTAGGTGAGTTTGTATTTAGATCATTTTATGTGCTTGTCTTGTATGTATGAGTTTATGAAACATATGAGTACATTTTTGCTTACAAATGGTTTTAGACAAATTCAATGTTATTGTTACAAGAAAAATAACCTATTATAATCCCTCATAACTCCCATAATCTTTAAGTAACACTTAAGGGCCTTAGGAGGGCTTTAGGGCTGGTACCCATACCCAGGATAAGATACTGGTATTATTGAGACAGATGAAGGCTACGAGCCTTGATTGCTAAAGACTCGAGGAAGGGGTCTAGGGATGTTGAATCCTACTAATAAAAGCTTACAAGTGAAAATATTAAATAAAATGTACGATATGCATAAGAACATTATAATGTAAGATTCCATAAGACTTATATCTTATTTTAGTGAGAAATATCCGAATATATCCAATTCATTGCTAAGATACTTAAATGCTAGATGGGCGTTTCTATAATGTTATGCGACCTGGAGGCATTCCGAATACTCATGAGGAGTAGACCATCCGGGTGTATGCTTATGATGTTGTGTGATCCATATCTCACCCTAGGTACTTGGCAATGAGGGCCTTTCTAGATGAATGTTTTAATGTTGTGTGACTCATGTATTATCTAGAATACCTTCGGTAGGCTAGATGAGTGTGAGTCTCAGATGTTGTGTGACCCTGCACTACACCATGATGCATACTCATGCTTGTGTGTAAATGTACTTATATTGTTCATAACTAAATGCTAGCATGCTCATACAATGCCTACATGTAATATAATAGAGTTATTTGTGTGGCACTAAGCTTGTGAATTCAATATCAGAATGCGCTTTCATGTTAAGGTTCTTAGATAGATGCTCGATGTGATTATAATCATGTTCATGTTCTAGATCGACTGAGCTATTAGAATACGTCTTGAGTATTACTAGTTTGGACACTTATTTTTATATTAAGTCAAAAAATTTAATGCAATAAAGTGATTTTTTCATACCTTCGCCAAATAGATTTTATTCAGTCAAAAGAATATAAATTTTATATTTTTTTTATAAAAAATAGAAACCATAAATAAATGAGACAGCATGGGAATAAAATATTTATTATTAAAAGAAGGAAAATTAAATGAATCGAGTCATATAAGAGTCAACACCCCGCAGCAAAGAAATAATTTGTGTGGCACACCAACTTTGACTAGATCAACGGCTAAAAATAAAATATGTTAAAACCCGCGAAGC